AGGTGTCGCAAACCATTTTTATATGTCGCAAATATGGTTGCAACCATCACCAAGAATTGCGACCAGCATCTATATTTCTACAGACTCAGACGACTTAGAATCTTTAGACAAAGACCAAGAGTCAGTATACCAAGCATCTGAATATTCAGAATCAATACAGACAGCACCAGACTATAGCACACTATTTGAAAGGTCAGAGGAAAACTCAGATACAACAGAAACCTATAGCGATACGGTATCAGAAAAATCAGGGATGGACTCATCATCAAAGCAACCCCAAATAAAAACTGAAATCTCATCAATTGGAGCTCAGTATGTGCTTAGTGACCTAGGAGGGGTCACTGAATTCGAACTAGAAGACAAAAGGTTCAGGAAAGATTTCGATGGGGGATGGCACTGTAAAGACTCAAAAATTTCACTTTTTCTGAAAGATGGGGAGGATAAGTTAGTTATACCAGTAAAGTCATTATATACAGGAAAAGGTAAGGATAAGGAAGAGTTCAAGGATGATAAAGACGAGTTTGATGAAGAAGAAATGAAGATACTTCTTGCAAAGAAGACTGATGACTTGTCCGAGGAGGAACAAGAGAAAGTAGCAAGCTATCAAAAACATTACATACTGGAGACTCAGAAAAAGTTGGTAGAGCTAACCCAAGCACATGACCGAAGAGAAAGAGAGCTAGCTAAACAAAAAAACAAAGGTATATTTGATACAGTAGCAGAATACCTGGAAAAGAATCAGACTGGTCCAGATGATTATAAATTAGAAATTAACTTAGATAACAGTGATGATGAAGAAGAAGTACCTGACGAAGAAGAAGAAGATGACCAGGGTGGTCAGGATGAGCATGAAAAGAGAGAAATGGAAAAGTTGGTAAAAGTTTTTACATCAGCAGGATTAGGGGGAAAAGAAGTTAAGTGGGCAGAATTTCCAAAATTCGGAGGAGGGGAAGATGATCCATATGAATGGCTTGACCAATATGAAGCTGCTTGTGAAGTGAATGGAGTAAAGAGTAACAGAATGTTAGACTTATTATCAGCAAGTTTAGAAGGACCAGCTTTGTCGTGGTGGAGATCTGCTAGAAAAACTGTAATAACATGGGAAGCATGGAAATCAGAGTACAAGCGTAAAAGATCATTCAAATACCAATTCTTAACCAGATTCTGTGGACCTGAAAGACAACAGAGATGGATGGAAGAACTTCGGAATTGTAAGCAAAGACCAGGAGAAACAGTCAGTGAATATTATGGTAAATTACAAACCTTGTATAGAAAGGCAGACCCAGCTAAACAATACCCAGAAAGAGATAACTATCAACAATTCTTGAAAGGTCTAAGAAGTGAATTACGAACAGCAGTAAGACTAGCAGCTGCATCCAACCTTAGAGAAGCTGTGGAAAGAGCAAAGGCTGCAGAAGCTGCTTATTCCATGGATGGATCTTTGGCAGGATACTCGTTGGTAAAGAAACATGATGAGGAGCTCCACAAAGAACTTAAAGAACTGAAAGAGCTTTTAACAAAGTCAGCACAAGAAACATGTGACCTTTGCTATAAGAAAGGACATCAAGCAGCAGAATGTCCTCAGAGAAGTTTGAAAATATCTACTCAGCAAAAGAAAAATTGTAGGGCGTGTGGAAAAGCAGGACATTGGGCTAAGGAATGTACAAAAACCCGAACTTGTTATACATGTGGACAGCTAGGTCACTTTGCAGATAAGTGTCCACATTCAGCACAATTTAAACAAATACTACAAAGAAATAATCAGCAACAAGCACCAAAGAAAGTTTTTATCGCTCAGCAAAATCAATTAGACCCAGAAGACCAGGAACAAAATTATGCATATTACCAACCAAATTATTATCAACAACCTCAATACTATAACACACCACCACCACAACCAGCAACCCAATATCTACAAATCGAACAAAGTCCTACACCAAAGCCACAAGATACTCTAGGAATGCTTGCTGCAGCTGTGGCTGAATTAACCAACAAAGTAAACAATTTAAAAGGGTAAAAGCACCTCCAAAGGGGCAGGATGGTGCAATAGATGAAA